CGGGACGGGACGGGGGGGCACACTGGCCTTTTCTTGTGGTTCCCATGTTCTTTCTACATGAATGCCAGTAACAGCAAGCCCTGCCTCTTAGTGTAGACATCCTCTGAAATTGTTCTTAAAAGGTGGAGCAGAAAGCCAGCATTGGAAAGATCCAGGAATGCTCCATGAAAGGCAAGATCTATCAAAATGCTTACTTCTGCCTGGTGCAACGCCCACTGTGGATTACTGCCTTGATGCCAGACTTATATGGTTTTCAGCCATGAGGTTTTGGCCACATGGTTTGAAAAAAAGGCAATCTGTTGCCCACAAAATTGGTTCCCATTAATTAACACTTAACAGCCCCCCCTCCACAAAACAGAAATGTTTGCCATATAAAATAGTCCCAGTTGTGAGCACGTGTGCAGATTCCAATGTTTGCTCACTTCCCTACATAAACAAAAAGACGCTCCTTCTGCTCTGAAAGCAGTCACTGAAAACACAGGCAGGTGCAGGGCTGTTTTCAAGGTAGGTGAACCTGTAATATTTTCACATCTCCGAATGCTGGTGTAAAAATACAGGCAGATGCAAGTGACAGCTTTGCACATGCTCAGAGTGTTTGGGCGAGGGAGACCGATGGCTGATCCTCAACCCTCTCCTGCAGGAGTCGAGCCGCTGTAGCGCCTCTGCTCCTTGAGGGATTAGCCCCTCTTCGCGTGTCTTTGCCTGACAGGATTAAGCCTGTGAAGAACACAAAGAGATAAAGCATGCCCTGGTGAGGTTGCCTGGGCATCGTATGAAGTCAAGGAATGCGGCCTGGATTTGGCAAGGGGCGGGAAGCAGCTTTGCCTTCATTATCCCCTGTAAATCCTCTGGTCAGCTCTCTTGTTCGGCAGCAGCCTCGGCCGAGGGCCTCCTGACCTGCTGGACAGCTCCGCTGCCTGGCTGGTGGACAGAGGGAGCCCAGGAGCAGCTCTTCCGGCCTGGCGCTCTTTGCTGCTAGGATCCAGGGCGCCCGTCTGGGCACTCGGGCCTTTCCTACCCCGAGACATTTAAAATCGGCATCTCTCCATCGCCACTGAGGTCTTGTCTGGATGGAGTTTCAAGCACGTTCCACCAGCAACTCAGGGAGAAGAACTCCCACACCTCATCAGTTTGATAAAATTGAGAAAAAGAGCCATGTATTGTCAGTATATGCTTAAGTTGCTGTTAAGCTGCTAATTAATTTTTCACAGCTGTTGCCTACTGATATTAGAAAGTGGGAGGGAGGAGTGCAACCTCCAAGGAGGGGTTCCCATCACTGGGTGGCCCTCCTCCTGAGGCTGACTCAGCTGACAGACACGGCCCCATTGCCAAGCAGCACCTTCCCCTACATGTCCCCCTCAGGGCATCCCCCAAATTGCTGGCTCCCCCCAGCAAAGCCCCCGAGAGGCCCAGAAGAATGTCTGTGCTCCTTCTTTCGTCTCCAGATGACGACTGCCCACCCACTGGCCTGGAGGGTTTCTATTTCTAGCCATCTAGCAAATAGGTCTCACACTGTAAAGCTTGCTGCTGCTTGTCTAAAGGCAAATTGGAACCCTGGGTGCAGCAATGCGCACCCTTCAGAAGACCTGCTCTCCCTACTAGTTATTTCCCTGTCAGCTTGATGTGTACCAGTGAGACTTGAATGTGTCAGGCCAGCGGTCCAACATGAATTGGGCTTGTCTCGGTCAACATCCTGGGGCGGGGGCACGGTGGGTATTATGAATGGACTCTACACTCTGTGAGGAGAAAGGGGGGTGGGCAAAGAAGGCACCTCTAGGGTACTTTCTTTGCCCAGGGCTGAGAATCCCAAGGCTTTGAAGACATTACTCGGAGTGGCAGTTGAATTCTGACTTTTCACTGTCCATCTTTTTTCACTGTTCAGGGGAGCTGTTTCTGGAGCCTGCATGAATCCGGCCAGAGCATTTGGCCCTGCAGTGGTTGCCAACTACTGGGACTATCACTGGGTGTACTGGGTGGGCCCCATGGGGGCTGGACTTCTGGTTGGTGCATTGATAAGGTATGTGGCAGGTTTCCAAGGCCTTCCAGAAGGGCATGAGGGTGGGAGCCGTACAGATCTCGGACGGGGGGACCTCATTCCAGAGGGCAGGCGTGTTTCATGGGGCTGCCTGGCTGGGCTAGTTGGATCTGTGGCTTGATTCAGGAGCAGGACTCTGGCTGAACTGGGTCTGCCGGCAACTCTTCATCAACAACGGTCAGTAGGACTGCCCTGTCCAGAGGCAGGCTGTCTCAGTCGCTGGAGGATCCCTAGCTTGTGGAGAACGAGGGTGTGTGTGGCATGCAGGGAGTCCTGCGTGGCATGCAGGGAGTCCTGCAGGGAGTCCTGCATGCAGGGAGTCCTGCATTTGCAGTCCTGGACCTGGTGGGTCCAGGCCAGGCCAGGAAAGACCCCAGAGAAGCAAGCCCATGACGTCTTGGGCCATATCAGGAATGGACACCTTGAATCCCCGGGACTGCTTCCGTGTGGTCTCTGCAGCCCCTCCCAAAGTTTTTAATGTGACAGAAGGCAGAAATAGCGAAGGACATGGGAAGTAATCACATTAGCTTTCTATTAGTCTAATTGTAATTATTTTTACAAGTAACGTGTGCTTTTGTCTTGGCTGTGCCAACTTTTTAGAATCTGGCCCTTTGTGTGCCATTCAAAAGCCAGGTGCCCACGTTGGCCATGGGGACTTTGTCCTTGCATCCCCACATGGTAATGGATTGTATTCTTGGGCTTGGAGTCCGGAGAAAAACTGTAGAAGGCAAGATGTTTTAGCAGTCCTCCATGCTGGTATAAATCCAGAGGCCAGACTGTTTATCGATCATTTCATCACCATTTCATCATTTCCTCCCTTGTGCGTGTGAGATAGAGGACGGGGGAGACGTGTACAGCATGCTTAACTTTTTCTGGCTTCATACAATACATGGAATCATAAACTGACCAGACAGGCTAGGTTTGTGCAGGAGGCTTAGTCATAAACGATCTCTAACCAGAGTTAACGTGAACTAGGTTCAGCATGGAAAAAGACTGACTTTAGACATTGCATCAGGGGAAGAGATTTGGTTTCAGGCATTATGGTCTGAGTTATCTGGGCGACAGATTGTGGCACATCTTTTGCATCTCGTAAGGGCTGCTAAAAGCACGTCTGGCCAAAGCAGAGCGAGCTCGATTAGGAAGGTGTCAGACTGGAGGCAAAATCCTGGAGGAGCTTGAGAGTCTGGCTGAAACGGGGCCTTCCCAACCACTCAGCGAAAAATTAGGAAGAACACTGGCTCATAAAGCCACACCCTTCCCTGCCTATCCACCAATGGTCGGAGGGTGAAAAATGAACCAGATGAGCATAGATCTTTTGGAACAAGACAAATATAGGCATGGGAGAGACTGGACAATTCCAGGACTGGAACAGAGCGAAGAAAGGATATAATTTGCTCACAACTGAGGGAGGAGTTGTGCAGGATGTTAGAAATGTCCTCTCCTACTGAAAGAACCTGGCAAGCATCTGAGTCCAAACGTGGAGGAACACGTCAAGGCCAGCACTGTTCCGGGGGCCCAATATTGCCAGATGACTGAGACGACGTGGACTGGTTTCTTGAAGCAAGCTGCAGATCTTCCATAGTCGAACTGAGGGGGCTTTACTGATCCTGCCATCTGTAGGGAGACCACCTGCCAGGTGGTGTTCAGGAAATTCCTGACTGGTCTTGCTGGATGGGGGAAGGCCCAGGAGGATCAGCTGCTAATCGCCGGGGAGGACTTAGCTGGAGAAGTGGAACTTCTTGATTTTTAGGGAAATGGAGTAGAAGCTAATGGGAAAAGAAATTCCTAAAAAAGGAGGCACAATTGTAAGCAACTCCAGTGAGAGAAACAATAGGGGGAAAAACCAATGTGAAGATCTGGGAATCAAAAAGGATGCAAATAGGAAGTGGGAAAAGAGCAGTTCCTGAAGAAGAGGCCAGGCTTGTACTGGGGGTGGCAGGAAAGCTAAAGAAGGAGACCAGCTTGGCAAAAAATGTTAAGAATAAGAGGTTAATGGGTAGAAAAGGAAAGGGAAAACTCCTTCACTTCAATTTTGGCTCGGTCTTGTGAAACAAGGGCTTTTTAAAAATGGGTGATCTCCTTAATAGGTTGTGAGGATATTAGAAACAGATCTTGATTTCAAGCAAAGCATTTGATGAAGGCCCCCGCGAGATTCTGGTCAGCAAGCTGGTTAAATCTGGGCTGGATGGCAGGGTGGGCCGTCGGCTGCATGAGCATCTCAAGGAGGTTCATCAGAAGTAGATCTCCGGAGGGACCCCGCGAGGTTCATTCCTGGGCTCTGCCTTGATCCGTGACTGAGATGGGGGGGGGAGGGAAAAGGGGGTGGGGCAGCTGCTGCTACACCCCCGCCCCGTGTCACCCCACTTCCATCAAACGCCGTTTGCAGGGGCGTGTACAGGGGTATGGTAAAAAAGCCGAGATGGCAGCGCACCTCAGAACAGGTGGGGCTTCGATTGCACCGTTGTGGACGCCATCTTGACTTTTCTGCCACAGGCTTCAGACCCCCTCAACCCTTTCGGAAGGCTGCTCAGTGTAGGACGAACGCGGGTCTAGGCTGCGAGACGCCCGGAGGCCGCGCTGCGGCGGCTTTCCGCCCCTCCCAAAGCGGGCCCTCCAGA